GCCTGCTAGCCTATAGTTTGCCAACAGGCTCTTCACCACGCACACTAAGTATCTTATTAGCTATATCTGCCACCTTACATAGCTAGGGCGCAAATCCTCGCAAATTAAGGTTAAGTATATACTAGATAATTGTCTGCTCCTCTAGTATAGTAAGTTTCTAGCAATTAGCGCGTACGTCTAGTTAAAACGTGATATTACAAAGGCAATTAGAGACCTGCTAATAAGGTATGTTCAACGCTCTAGCAGCGCTGTGGATACTGCGAAATTGGCTAGCATAGAAGGCCTAGATAGCAAGGATAACTCTGCCTTCTCTAGTAGTATTCTGAAGTTGTTATTATTAAGGCATGTTGTGTTAGGGTAAAAGGTAGTCGTGCTAAGAGAAAGTGGCCAGTTTGGTGATATGGCCGGCTTGGTGATAATCTACGTTAGTGTTAATTATTTAACATTATTGCAATATTACTAAGGCGTTTACAGCACTATGCAATAGAAGATTAAACAATAACAGAACCTTACCCCCTACAAAGAGCTAGAGCTTGTTAATTACATAGATTAACTCTGCAGAGAGCACCTTCTGCCTACGCGCGATATAGTTCAACATTTTGCCTCTATTATCTGCGGATTTGAGGTTAGGAAGACCTGGGTTACACGCTTTGTCCAGCGGCATAACAAAGCGCTTACTCCACAGTGGACCTCCGCTATGGCCTCCAAACGTCACGCTGCTAATTCTTATAGTAAGTACAGCTTGTACTTTGACATGTTAGAGCTTAAAATAAGCAAGAAGGGTATAGAGCCTAAGCACACATACAATATAGATGAGAAGGGCTTTATAATTAGGAAGATTAGCAAGCAGAAACGAGTGTTCAGCAGGACAAGCTACAGCAATAAGCGCTTCTGGCAGGCCTTAGAGGATGGCAACAGAGAGTGGGTAACGCTTGTAGCGTGCGTTGGGGCTTCTGGAGTCGCACTTCCTCCAGGCCTGATTATGGCTGGAGACTCCGGCAACGTCCAAGACGCATGGGTGCGAGATATCAAGCAATTGAAGCATCGCTGCTTCGTCACAGTCACCCTAAGTGGCTAGAGCAACAACGACGCTGGCCTCAGATGGCTACAACAAGTCTTTAACAAAGAAACCAAGGCCTCAGCTCATCGCAAGTGGCGATTGCTCATTATCAACAGTCACAGCAGCTATATAAGCCGCTCATTTCTAACATACTGTTATTAACATAAGATACTTATAGCAATATTTCCTCCCCACAGTACTCACACGCTCTAGCCAGCTGACGTTGTCCTCTTCAAGCTGCTATTAACAGCGTACTCACAGCAATTGACACGGCAGACTTAGCGCTCTAAAGGCTTGTTGCCAGTAAAGAAAGGCAGCTTCTTCTTATTATTTTAGCCTGCTTGGCTGCAATTGTTTACTAAAGACAACATACTTAAAGCCTTTAAGGCAACAGGCCTTTAGCCGCTTAATTGCAATAAAGTACTCAAGCGCTTCCCTAAAGGAGCTGCCACTCTGTCTACCCCTCTGCCGCCTAAGGCAGGTACAACAGCACGCAAAATAATAAGGAAGTTAGACTCTGTTATAGGCAATAGGTACTCTAATAAAGCAAGAGCTCTCTACCACAAGGTACATTTAGCTAGGCTACTCTCTATCCGATCTAGACATGGCGATTTTGCCTAGTATCATCGAAAGTACAACCACAAGGATGCAAACCTCACCTGTTCATGCCAACAGGACAAGACACTAGAGCACCTTGCGCTTTGCCGCAAGACCCTAGGGACCTTTAGCAGATGGCCACTTCGACCACCTATACCGCCGTCTAGCCAGGCCGATGGCCTAGCGTACACTGCAGTACTAACAAGGGAGCCAGAGGCCTTTGAAGCCTTTGTCAAACTTACACAGTACTACACCAAGATCTGCCCCCGCTAGCTCTTGCAGTCCTGCAACAGCAGCAAGCAATGCAGCACCTAGCAGTAGTAGGTCCAGCACAACAGCTGCAGTACTCCCCACCCGTCTACCTCTCTTACCCTTCCCCCTACCCCTCTCCTCCTCTCTCCCTACACACACACACACACACACACACACACACACACACACACACACACACACTCCCTCTCTCTCTCTTAGCACATAGATGCCTCAAAATGCAAGGAAATCACCCTAATGTACATAGATCGCTCAGCCTCCCCAACTGGACGAGGAGCTGTAGTTTTGAAATAGTAGCAATACCCGCGCAGGCAAGAAATGCTTTCTAAGGTAGTGTGTTCGCACTGTAATTCCATAGCTTAGCACGTCGTATATGCCCTTCGGGAGGCGAGATGGTGGACTTTGTCCCTATTAACTAGACGTAAAATGAATACCAACCAACCAACCAACCAACCAACCACAAGGTACACCACCTTGTGATTAAGAATAAGCTACTTAATAATAATATACAAGGCCTTACAGAGTTACTTTTAATTAAGAAGAAGCAGGATAAGAAAAGCAAAGCACTTACTTTAGTTAAGCTATTGTTAGACTACTAGGGTGGCGCAAAGTGGTGGTTGCCTTAATTATTTAAGGAAGCCTGCCACAGAGAGTAGATTATAAAGGAGACTGCGCATGCAGAGAAGCTTAAAAAGGCTAATATTAAAGAGCTTAAAGCTGCTAATAAGCTATACAACAACAAGATCAAAGAACAGAAGCGCGAGGCAGCTGCTGCAGTGAAGGAAGTGCGTGACCGCAAGTGCGCGGAGGAACGCGTAGCGATTGATGCTCGCAAAGCTCAAAGACTCAAGGATAAACAAGCTCACGACGCTTAAAAAGCCAGCCAATTGCCTAACAAAGGCAAGCGCAAAGCTTCAAAAGCACCTCAGGCACCTGCAGCCAAAAAGCGTCGTTCTGCGCAGCCTCGAAGTGGTGCTGTTGCTGCAGCGGCTGCTCTGCCTTGCGGCACTCACACAACCCGCAGCAGCCACACCGCAACATTATATAAATAGTGCTTTCAGCAAATAAATTGCATACATCAATTAACTATAATACTAACAAACCTCGTGATAATTACTATTGTGGCTGTTTCTACAGCCTCATTTTGCTATGGTGCGTGAGGTGGGTGCTGCGTGCGGAACGCGGAACCGTGCGGCACGAGCTCCGGCACGGTACGTTAAGTTTACTATTAACGTGGTCCACCACCAAGCGAATCACCCCACCGAGCGAATCACTCTGCCAAGACCACAACGCTTTCTACTATTAATTACAATGGCTTAACAACCTAATCTTGAATTACTTTCCTGTGCAGATAGAGTTATACTTGCTACCTACGCAATAAAATCTAACGCGTCACTAAGCCAGCAACGCGCTGCTGCTATCTACAGGGTTCCTCAAAGTACACTTAGCCATCAAGGCGCTGGAAGAACCCCACGACGCAATACCCACCCTAACTCATCTAAGCTTCAGAAGCATGAAGAGGAGGCAGTTATACAATACATAAGGAAGCTTGACGCTAGAGGCTTTGCCCCTACGCTTAGCCACGTACGTGGAATGGCTGACCAGCTACTAGCTAAGCGTAGTAGTGGCCAGGTTGGGGAGAACTGGGCCTATAGGCTGATCCAACGCCGGCCTGAGGTCAAATCTCAGGTGACTCGACTCCGTGATCACCAGCGAGTCCTCTGCAGTAATCCAGCTATTATCAGCCCCTAGTTCAACCTTGTACGCAACGTTAAAGCCAAGTATAGTATCCTAGATTAAGACACGTACAACTTTAATAAGACTAGCTTCTAGATAGGCGTTAGGGGGTCTGTGAAGGTAGTCACAGCCTCTAAGAGGCGCCTTAAGCTACTTAGGGTTCAGCCTAGTAACAGGGAGTAGGTGATGTTAATTGCCACCATCAACGCCACAGGGTGGGTTATCCTACCCTTTATTATCTTTAAAGCTAAGAACCACAACTAGGCCTAGTATTATAACCCTTAGGATTAGAGAATAGGGGTTAGCAATAATAGATAGACAACAAATAAGCTTAGGCTTGCCTAGCTACAGCACTTTATTAAGCACACAGAGGTTAAGAAAGTAGGTAGTTACAGACTACTAATTCTTAATAGCCACAAGAGCTACAAGTTACTCGCCTTCTAGGATCTTTGCAAGGAGAATAATATTATTACCCTCTGTATACCCCCTTACACCTCACACATCCTTTAGCTGCTTAATATGGGTTGCTTTGCCCCCCTGAAGCGTGCGTACAAGGAGGAGATCTAAGTCTTGGCAAACTGCTATATTAACTACATTAACAAGAAAGCCTTCCTGGCTGCACTTACCCTAGTATTTAACCAGGCCTTCTCAAAGGACAATATCCTATCAAGCTTTAGAGCAACTAGCTTAGTTCTAGATAACCTAGAGGTGGTGCTATCAAGGCTTGAAGTAAAGCCTTGTACACTAACACCACCTTTACCTAGGAGTACCCCTTGGCAGCCTAAAACACCAAGCAACGCCTAGGAAATAGAGGCTTAAACAATGCTAATTCTTAAGAGGATAAGGGACTATAGGAGTTCCTTACCTAAGTCTATTCTTAAGATAGTGCTGCAGGTCAAAAAGGGGTTAACTTTAAAGGTACACTCACACACGTTGCTTAAAGCTAGGATAGATAGTCTTGAGCAAGCAAATCAGGCTGCTTCTGAGCGTAAAAAGCGTAAGAAGAAGCGAATACAGAAGGGGGGGACCCTATCACAGGCAGAGGTAGAGGTAATAGTTACCTAGGGGGATGCTGAGGTTCGACTTGAGGCAGAGAGGCGTGAGGAGAGGGTGCAGGCAGGTGCTAGCAGCAGGGGTATTCCGCGCTGCAGGAGGTGTGGCAACACAGGACACAACAAGCGTACATGCAAGAAAGATACAGTAGAGATAGGCAATTAATTTAAGCTATTGCGCACTATTATATCTTGTTGTTGTGTTGAGTTATTCACGTTTAAAGATATATTGTTGCATTTAGTGATTCGCTTGGTGGGGTGATTCGCTCGGTGGTGGACCACGTTAAACTAATTTAGATAGCTAGTCCATAGAAGCTGTAATGTAGAGTAACGTAAACCCCCAGCACCCGGGCCAACCCAGCACCCGGGCCATTTCTTGCCAAGACCACAACTATTAATATTAACACGTAATGCCTTACTAACAAGATACACAATTATCTAAACAAGAGGGTAGAATTAATCTTGCCCTTTCTACTTTCTAATTATATAAATTTAAAAGCCTCTAAAGCGCTGCTTAGGCATTTAATATACTGCGTACAACCTTAAGTGCTAGGTATAGAGGCAGACTCTATATTAATAATAGACGCAACACACAACATAAGCTTACGCGCACTAAAGAGCAAACAATTGTATAATACATTCTTGACCTTAATTCACAAGGATTCGCGCCCTAGCTGTGCGAGGTAGCAGATATGGCTGACAAACTGTTGGGTGTACGCGGTGGGCAGCCTGTTGGCAAGCACTAGGCTGAGCGCTTCGTGACGCGTTCAGCTACGCTCAAGATGGCCTTTAATTAAGCTAAAGATAGGCAGAGGATGCTGCAGGAGGATCTAGAGACAATCAGCGCGTAGTTTAAGCTAGTAGAGGACACAAAAGCTAAATACAGCGTACACAACTACAACATGCACAACTTTAATAAGACTAGCTTCTAGATAGGTGTTATTAGCTTAATAAAGGTTGTTATAGGCACAGAGAGATATAATTAACCTTAGCTTGTTTAGCTAGGTGATCGCAAGTAGGTAACAGTTATCTAGAGCATCTGCGCTGCTAGATCTTGTACCCTGCCTTTCATTATCTATAAAGGACGCGTTCACATCTCTGCCTGGTACAAGGAGGCAGATATACCACGCAATTGGAAGCTCTCTGTCTCTAAGAGCGGCTGGACGAACAACGCGCTTGGCCTTAAGTGGCTGAAGCACTTTGACGCGCATACAAAGGCGAGCCAGGTAGGGGCGTACAGGCTGCTCATTTTGGACAGCTATAAGAGCTACCTTAACTAGGATTTTAAGGACTACTGCCTTAAAAACATAATCCTTACCCTCTGCATGCTACCTTACTTATTACACATCCTCTAGCTACTTAATGTAGTCTGCTTCTTGCTATTAAAGCGCAAGTACTCTTAGCGCGTATAAGACTTAGCATACAAGCACATCTTCTATATTAATAAAGAAGGCTTCCTCCCTGCCTTTAAGGACGCGTTTTTTAATATGTTTATAGCAGAGAACTGTTATAAGGCCTTTAAGGCAGCAGGGCTAGTCCCTCTTAACGCGCAGGTTGTGTTAGATTGCCTTAAAGTGCGCCTGCGTACCCTGCTAGAACCCCTCCTCCTAGAGACGCTGTGGCAGTTAAAGACTCTAAGCAATACCTACAAGTTTAGATCTTAGTTAAAGCTTGTATGCAAGTCTTTTACTTAGTTGCCTATTACTGCACAAGCAGGCTTCTCTTAGCTTGTTAGAGGCGGCAAGCTTATGCTGTATTAGAACGCGCTTTAAGCAGCCTAGATTACTGAGCTTAAAGAGTAATTAGCAGTAATAACTAAGCAGAAATCGCGCAAAAGGAAGCAGATCTAGTAAGGTGGTACTATAGAGTATGGTGAGGCAGCAGCTCAGGTGGCCGCAGAGGCCTCTGTAGCCGCTGAGCGGTCAAAGAAGGCTTGTGGTGGTGGTAATTAAGAACAAGCTTAACTAGCTCTATAGCGCTGTAGAAACTGTAGAGGGACTGGACATAACGCGCGAACGTGCAAAAAAGATATAGAGGCATATTCTAAATTAGATAACGTAAATACTAAGCGAGTGAGCCATCGAAGCGAGTGAGCCACCCAACCAACTTTGCGCACCTTTACAATTATATATCTCAACAACGTGATAATGTAATGTTTAGATATTTATAGAGTAAATTAAGCAGTATCTAAAGTATCTTTTTTGCACGTACGCGAGTTGTGTCCAGTCTCTCTGCATCTCTTGCAGCGCGCGAGTGCCTGGCGGCTGCGGCCTAATTGCTCTCCTCCTTGACGCTCTTCACGAGCAATCTGCTGATCAGCCTCACGTTAAGCAAGTATATCCTCTCCAGCTCCCTTTGTTAAGATCCCACACTGCTGTATACGCCTTT